ACAACTGGCCCGTGGTCCCAAGGACGGTTGCAGCTTCGGCTGGTGGGGGCCCTCCCTCCCACTGGGCTCCCTGTTTTTACTTTTGTAGCCTGGGCTTTAGAGTGAGAGAGTCACAGAGTCCAACTCAGTATTTCACTAGTTGGCAAGTTACTTAAACTCTCTGAGTCTGTTACCACTTCTTATACTTATTTTCCAAGGCTGGAAATTAAATGAGATAATATATTTTAAAATGTCACACAGAGAAATGACATTCAGTTAATGCTAATTCCTATCTCCTTCCTTTACAAATAAATTATCATACTTTAATGTCAAGTATCAGATAATTCTTAGGCATTTACTTTGTTTGAGGTGGGGCGCTAAATGCTATGGGACAAAATGTGCAAGATGGTTCCTAACCTCAAGGGGATGTCATCAAATAATGGGAAGAAATCCAGATGCATTGTTAAAATGAAATAGTATATTAGAAAACATAGAAATCAAAACCCCAATGAAATACCACTTTATATTCACTAAAATTTCCATATTCAAAAAGATGGACAACAATAAGTATTATTATTATAAGTGAGGATGTGGAAAAATTAGAGTCTTCCTGTATTGCTGGTGGGAATGTAAAATAGCACAGCCCTTTTAGAAAGCAAGTTTGATGGTTTTTTAAAAAGTTAAGCATACGTTTATCATATGACCCAGCAATTTCAGTCCTAGGTATCTTACCCAATAGAAATGAAAACATACATCCACATAAAGACTTGTATGCTAAGGTTCATAGCAACATGATTCTTAATAGGCAAAAGTGGAAACAACTCAAATATCCCTCAGTTAGTGAATGGATAAATGAAATGTGGTATATCTGTATCATGGAATATTTAATTCCACCCTAAGAAGGAATGTTCTGATAATGTGCTACAAAATGGCTAAACCTTGAAGACATTATGCTAAGTTGAATTTTATAGTATATAAATTATACCTCAATAAATCTGTTTAAAGAATTATACAGTAATAAAAGAATTTAGTAAAAATATAAAACTAAAAGTCAAGTGAAGTATTAATATATTAATGCTAACAGTTGTTGAATGCTTATGGTATACTAGTGATTTCATGGCCTAATCTGGAAGATCGTTCGAGTCTGGATGGGTATAGAGAGCCGGGGATAAGCATGGGAGGCAGGGAAATAACCAGAATCAAGGTAGAAGAGTTCAGTGCACGAGGCCAAGGCAGGCTTGGGGGCAGACCTAAACCAGTTTGACTGAACAGAGAGTGGAGAGTGTCAGGAGCTCAAGAGGTGGTTTGGGGCCAGATGTTGGAGACTTTTAATTTTCAGACAGAAGGTTTGGAATTGGTCCATAAGGCAATGAGGAGCCATTAAAGGGAAGAGTGAAATGATGAAAGAGGTATTTTGAGAAGGTTAATCTGGCAACAGTGTCTGGGAGGGATGGGAGTAGGAGATGAATGGCAGACAGGGATGTCAGTTAAGAAGGCTGCCACGGTAGTCCAGGCTTGAGATGATAACGGCCTGAACTAGGGTCATGGCAGCATGCCACGTTAACTTGAAAAATGACAGTAGAAACCAAAAAGTATTATCTTATGTATCTAAGTTTTATAATGCTAGCCCATGGAACTGAACTATTCTATGCAAGACACTGTGATATCCACCACCCTGAAAGACATTTAAGACGCAAAAAAACGGGGATGAGAATCAAGCCCGTTGCTTTTGTTCCCTGATGATCGTGGATTCCAAATTCCACCTATCCCTTATTTTATTGTAAATGATAGCACCGAATCCAGGGATCAGGTGGGATGGGGGTAAAGAGCCTGGAAATTTTAAAAGCCTGGTCATTTTAGTGCTGCCAAGTAGAAAAATGGAAAAACGGACTGTGTGTCAGAAGACGAGTTTAGGATTTTGGTCAAGTCTAGTTCTTTCTCTAAAATTCTCAATTTCTAAACTTCTCTCAATTTCCACATCTCTAAAACAGGGAAACTATACTCGAGCAGGGAGGGATTTTCAAACTGTGTTCTTTAACTATGTTGAACCAGTGATTGAGGGGCTTCTCAGGTGGTCTGGAGACCCAACCACTTGGAGATCCGGGACCCCTACCCAACCTACCCCCTACTTCAACCAAAACACCTCTGATTTGTTCTGTTTTAGATTTCTGGCTTCACAATAACATTTCAATGGAAAAAAGGGTCTTGTGGCTTTAATTTTTAAGAGAACAACTAGGTTATAGGATCTCCTAATTTCCTTCTAGCTCGAAAATTGAGTTTAATTTCTTTTATATTTTTGTGAGGGAGGAATTTCCGTAAAAATATGACTTAAAAATACTGAATAGCCAACTCTTTCAAGCGATGCAAGTGTTTCTTTTAAAGAAAAGAAGTAAGGTCTTTTGAGAGGCCTTTCCTCAGAATAGGATCTGAAAGTAATTTTATTTGAAGTGTTTAAAACGTTGGCTTAATTCTGTCTCTGAGGGATTCTGTGCAGTAACCATGAGATTGCGCCCAGATAGTTGAGGATGAAAAACACCCATAGATCATCCAGGTCTTCCTTCCTCCAAGGGGAGTCGTGTGGGGGGGTGTGGAATGCACGTCTCATCCCAGCCAGAGGGGCCGAGGGAAGGGTTGCTGGGATGATAGGGGCAACTGGAAACCCTGTGAACACCCCCAGGAGCACTTTTGTATGGCACCAGCTTGAGTTTAACCCCGGTGAATCGGGGTTAAAATCCCACCATTCCCAGCCCCTTCTCAATGTTTGGAATTTCCATTCATCAGCCCAGATAATGCAGAACCTAGTAACATTCCCTGGATAAGGGCTAACTCTACCTAGTTCCCCAAATGTAACTTCCACCTCCTAGGAAGACCAGCAAAGCTTGTGGGAGGCCTTGGTCATGATCCTGGGTCCAGCCAGTCAAGTGCTTTCTTTTATTTCCTCTCCTTTTCGCGACAATGAGGAGGGATGGAAGAAAATCATAACAATAGTTAAGGGTTAACTTTTACTAGACACAGAGTACTTCATGTGCATCATTTAATTTTCAAGCCTCCCGATAACCATGTTAGTGAACCCTATTATCATCTCCAATATTTAGCTAAGCAAACTAAGGCCTAGAAGGGTTAAGTAACTAGCCCAGGTTATATAGCTAGTAAGTGGCAGAGTCAGGATTCGAACCTAAGTTTGCCTGTCTTTGAGGCTGAACTCTTAACTACCCGTGATACTGTTCTAAAGGTCTCCTTTACGTAATGGGACCCATGGGATTGCAATGCAGCAGTCTCCTTTCCTTAGTGCCTAATCACGGGGTCCCTCCTTCAGATTTTCTCTGTGTTCCATATGCTCAGAGGCCACAAACTCCAGGAAGTTGGGAGGACAATTCTAGTACACACAAGTCCCTTTCTCAGCATCCCACTCATGGAAGACTATAACCGACAGACTTAGAAGAGCAGCGCCTTTTACACTACGCCCCTGGGAGGAAGTCTTCATCTAGAGTCACTTACTTGGCAAATACATCAGTGCCCTCGTCTGCACTGCTAGTTTTGTTAAGGATTTTTCATATATGATACCATACCCCAAATCAACAATCCATGGAAGAATTGTCACTGACATGTTCACACATGCACATACAGATAACGCTCATTCCACACATTTAATCTTTTATCCTTCTGAAACAAAATTAAGATGAAGTAACAATCATTGCCCCTTCTGTTCTGAGCCATTTGCGGGGAGCTGCCATCAGAAGGCAATTTTATTTACTGCCAAATTACAATATCTATGGTGTGTCGGTTACCTGTCCATTTCAGTGCCCTTTGCAGGCACCGTCTGATGGACCTCTACACGGGGCAAGAATTCTCAGAATGTAGGTAGAAAGACATGGCATCTTAATTTTCAGAGGCAGCTTTCCCCTCTGTGATGTATTTTAACCAGCAGCAGCTCTGTCCTGTGAGTTGGACAGACTGCAAAGGAGGCAGTGAGATCACCAAGGCCAGTTCGGATGCTTCTGTGCAAGAAGGGAGAGGGGCTCGATTCTGCCTGGGACACAGAGATGTTCACTTCAGGCCTCGTCATTCTGTTCTTGGCTGTATCTGCTTGCCAGGGGGATTTCTCTATGAAAGACACATAGGCCCATGAAGCTGGGGGAGTTGCAGGCAAGTCAAAGAAGGAGAGGCTGAAAACAAGTTGAAGCTGGGTATCAATGCATTAGTTCGTGCTAGTGTTCAAGTAGGAACGATTTAGAGAAGTAAGTTAGTTGGGGATCCATCCCTAACTTACGAGGTAAGTCAGGAACGGTAATGCCGATGCAGCCATCTCCCCAGATGCAGGGCAACAGGGGAAATCAACTTCTCTTGCTGGGAAGCTGTTGATGTTTTGGAGCCAGAAAACTGACAGGAAAGAGGCAGGATTTCCTTGGCCTTCTTTCCCTAA